CTTCTTTAGTCCTCGTCTTTCTGTTCTGTACATTTTGGTCCATAATTTCATCTTTTCTAACACTCTTCATTTGTTGACAAGTTTTTTATGCTTACAACCTTAGAGTTGAACTCGATTCGCGAAAAAATACTGAAACGAAGAGCGTACGATTTGATGTAATCCATCACTTGGCTTTGATCAGGGAAAGTTTCTGTGACTGAAAGTGGCCATGCAAGATCTGAGAACTGATAGTAATTCTTAGGAGTTTGCAGTTTAGTTGAATCAATGGTGCTGGACCACACTCCTCCAATGCCATTTCGAGCCTCGAAAACTACTGGATTAAAACCCTTTTCCATTGTGTGTCTGCATGCAAGAAGACCACTGATTCCAGCACCTACAATGGCTATTTCCTTCTCCATTTCACATGACGACATTGAAGAACTCTTTTTTTTTTTGTAGACACTGAGTGATATGGTTATTATGCCCCGGTTTTAATGGCATTTTTTTTTTTTCCAAATCTCATTATTTGCGGTAAAAGAATCAATAAAAAATGCAAAACTTGAGTTGCTTTGTCATCTTGAATTTCTCATTATTGTACCGATAAAAATGCATTGAACAAAATAAGAAAAAAATTTGAGTTTACATGTAATATTATTTTATTAAAAAATGTGTAATAAAAAAGACGAGAGAAAAAAAATATTTTAAAAATAACGGGATCAAACAAGGACATAATTGAGGCAATGCTCCACAAGAACATGTCAAGGTAGTTTGGAAAATTGAGGTGAAACATCCATTGAAAAGTCAAGGGCAAATGTAATGCAGCAAGATATACAGGCATGGGACCACCGAGTGTTTAATGAAATATTTGTTAACTATTTTTATTTTTGGCAGTAAAATCCAGGTCTGACTCACATGTGAACTTGACTTTCCCATATAAAGGATGAGCCGCGTCCTTGACAGCCCCCACCTGCTCTGCTCCGGACCTTAGTGAAAGATGTACATCGTAGGTTATGCCTTCAAAGGTACATGATACCCTTGACAGGCTCCACCTGCCCTGCCCTGAAACTTGAATTTCCCATATAATTATGACCTTGTCCGTGTAGCCATGAATTGGCTTATCTTTCCAAGAAGCATACGGGATTCAAATAAAAACAGAGTTTGCAGAGGCACAGTAATTAGTTGTGCACCCTCCATCGATTGGAAGAGGTTCCGTAGAGACATGTAAATCCAATTTTTTAGTTTGGTCTCAATCCCGCGTTACCTGTTTCAACTTGAGACGATAGATGTACTAGACTACAAGAAATCAAATTCAAGACTGAAATCAGGACATGTTTGATTCGTTAAACAAGATTATAAATAAACAAGATGTTAATTTTGACCATCTTTTGTTTCTTAATGTTGCACAGTACAATGCATCTTATCAAACAAGTCATTAAATTAACAAAAGAAACGTTACCTTATTTGGAGTCCCAAAATTGCTGCCACGTTACCTTATTTCTCTCACAAGGTTTTCGATTTCTTCAAAATAAGGAAAATATTTTCTTCTTTAGAATATATTTTCCATATCAATCAAACACACTCTAACTGCTACATTATGTCACATAGGACGACTATAATAGTGAGCGACAACAGATAACATTACTCATATGAAAATGATTTTACTTAACCTCTGTTTGATGGTCATTATTTGGCAAAAATAAAGTTTTGGATATTGAATTTTTAAGAAGCCGTGATTAAAATGTAAGAAAAAAAATTAAGATTATGTGTAGAATATTTTATTGTTTGAACGTGATTGAAATTAAATGTTGAAAAAAGAATTTAAAATAAATTCCACCAAATAGGAGCTTAGTTACACATTAATTTCAAACATGCATTCATAATTACTATTCATTATTATCTATACATTTCATATGACCAACTATTATTCATTTTACTATTTATCTTTATAAACTATATTTATAAGGAGGAATGGTGGTGGTTCCATGCAATGTGCATGTAATAATGAGTAACAATGATAAATATGTGATTAAAATTAAAATTTCATTTCGATAAAAGCTTGTTTGAGCCTCACTTTTATAGAAGAATACATTTAGGGATAGTAGACTGATGAAGTATGTGCGATTAAAAAATAAGAAAAAAATTTGAATTTGCATGTAATATTATTTTATTGAAGAACGTATTGTTAAAAAGAAGAGAGAAATTCATTTTGAAAATAATATGGATTAAACAAGAGTCAAATTGTAAATTGCCAAGTCTTTCACCATTTTTTAACCTGTTTTTTAGCACTAATATATTGTGCAAGATATTTGTAAAATGAGATCTTTCAGATGACATATTGAGGATAAGACAATTTATACAAAATGCAATTGCTCTCTTCCATATAAATGGCTCAAGGGTCCGCCATGGCTTCTCCATTGAGTTTCTCCTCAAAGCATTTGGTCAAAGGCTTATTCACATTTCCTCTGGAGAAAGTTACATTCAAGAAAAAGATCCCAATTGGGATTCTGAAATTCTCTCAACAAAATGTTGTCTTGAGCAAGCAATTGAGCAGAGAAAAGGATGTTCTGTCAGCTCTTGAAGCCTTGGATGAGATGAAGAACAATGGAATTCTTGCAGAATCACAAGACTTAATCGAATTAATGAAAGAAGTTGTGGATATGAATTTCCTGGAAGCTGGGGAAAGAATTCATGAATACATACAGAGAAACTCATCAGATTTTGATGTTACTGTGTTCAACAAGTTAATTGAGATGTACTTTATACTGGGTAAGACGAGAAGTGCCTATCAAGTTTTCGATAAAATGCTGCTCAGAAATTTGGATTCTTGGAACAAAATGATAACAGGTTTAGCGGAAAATGGAGAAGGAGAAGTAGCTCTTCAAGTTTTCTCCCGATTGATAAAAGATGGGATCAAACCAAATGATAATACATTTCTAGGTGTTCTAAAGGCTTGTGAGTACTTGGGGGATTTGGGGAAAGGGCAAGAATATTTTGAATCAATGAGTAAAATTTATGGAATTTGTCCATCTTTGGAGCACTATTTGAGTTTTCTTAATCTTCACAGAAAGTACAAGACAATATCACAGATAAGGGAGTACTTTCTCACTCAATTGTCCTATAAACCTAATACTAAGGTTTGGGGGATTCTAGAGAATCATTTAAGAACTGAAGCTAAAGATCAGATGAGTCGAAAACCAGGGTTGAAACTAAACAAGAACAGAAGGATAGACGAAAACCCAGAATCAAACAGAAAAAGTGCACCACCAGGGAAAGAAAAGGCATATGAGAAACTCAGGTTGTTGAGTGAGGAGGCAAAGAAAGCTGGTTATGTTCCTGACACAAGATATGTACTCCATGATCTTGATGAAGAAGCAAAAGAGAAAGCCTTGCTTTATCACAGTGAAAGACTAGCCATAGCTTATGGGCTCATCAGTACACCTGCAGGAACCACATTAAGGATCATAAAGAACCTAAGGATTTGTGGAGATTGCCATAATTTTATCAAGATCTTGTCGAGATTTGAGAAACGAGAATTCGTCGTTAGAGATAACAAGAGGTTTCATCATTTCAAGGATGGGAAGTGCTCCTGTGGAGACTTCTGGTAGAACAAAAATGTGTCCCATGATAAGTATTCAGCTGCCGACTTCTTTTAGTCACATATATTGATCTGTCAAAAATGCATTTTCTTCATCAATATTGGCATAAAAAACTGTAATTTTTTGTTTCTCAACGGTAGAATGATGTGCAGAAATATTAGAATTTCCTTACCAAAGAAACCCCAAAAAAAAAAATGAAACAGGTAGATCAATTTAATACTGAAAGCAGCAAAAGATTTGCTATTAGACCATGAGAGAATGGCTAAGCATATAACAGAAGAGAAAGGGCATGGGCATAGGATATTCTAGTATGAAGCACCGAGTCTAACACGTATCAAAAAGAATAATGTTATTTATCATTATGATGATGAAACATCGGTGATATGACAGTCTATGTGGAATAATGGAATTGAAAGTTCAATTTTTACATAAAGAGTGGGAGGAGAGAGAGATGAATGTGAGGGACAATTGTTTGTCACATCACCGATATTCCATCATCATGTTGATAAATAGCATTCCTCTATCAAAAACCGATACACCTCGGCCCTATTTTCGCTTGGATTGAAACTCACAATTCTGCATTTTCATTGGTGCTAACTGAATGCTAACTTTTAAAGATAGCTGTATGCTTTCTTTTTGTAATTGTCTAAAGAACAAATGTAGTTAAATACATTTGGACGCTACCACATGAAATCTCCCGTCATATAGAACCACCCCATCTAAGGAAAAAAGAGAAAAATAAAAAAGATCTTTCCTACAAAAGCAGCTCTTCTAATGCAGAAGAGTTGGATTAGAATTGTGATGATGTTGATGGCTGATCCTTGTGCTTCTCTACAGCACGAGCCTTGATGGTGGACCAAACATGCTCAATAGTACCTGCAATGAAGTTGAATGAGATAAAAAAAATGACATGCATTCATTTCCTCTCGCCAAGAATTGTGTTAAGAAAAAGGCAATATTTGCAGTGGAGGGAGAAGTCATTTGCTCGTAGATCAAGTGTAGTGAGAAAAAGTCGAGAAAATAAAAATTCTCAAAGACCTCTTGGTTTTTTTCAGAAATAATTGATGGAAGGAAAAATAAAACAGATAAGAAGCACAAAGAGTAACTGGCAATAAAACTAGCCCCTGCAAGAAACCAAGAAGCACCAAAGATAGGTACATTTTGAAATAGTAAACCTGCAAAACACAGAATCAATTTAATACTTATAATAGATTAGCTTCTTTAATGAATGACTCTTAGCATGCAGGATCAGATACCACAAAAACTTCACTCTTTGAAAAGCAAAGAACAATCACTCCGACTAGCTTCGTAAGGGTGATTCCACTGCCAGAGACAAAATGAAAGGAATAATTTGTCAGTTTCACTGTTTTGTTTAGATGAGGAAAAAAACTCTAAAAGTATAATGACAGATGAGAAATCTAGGTAAAAATGTCAGCTAGAGAAACAAAAGTTTTTTAGAGACTATGCATTTAACTATTAAACGAATACTAAATAACTATTAAAGTTAATGGGTGACTATCCGTCAAGATGTTAAGAGGTGAGAATTTCAATTGTTTTCAATATGATACTAGAGTGCAGGATATACTTTAAAGAAAAAAGAACTTTCATCTACAACCTCAAAGTATTTAAACAGAATTTTATTTATCTCTACTGAAATAAAGTATAAAGGTAAGTGCTTGCATGTTCGACCACGGTATTCACCATGACCAACCAAAACAAGCGGATTTTGTCCACTAATGTGAATGAGAGAACAAGCGAAGATTTCATGCATTCCATAGCCCTCTGACATGATATTAGAGTAAGTAGCATGCAGGTTTCAGATCTCATCACATCAATTTATAAAAATTGTACAAGTAGAAGGCCTTTGATGAAACAAATGTCCGAGAGATTTTCTAAAATGTTGTTTAAGACATCTTGCAATGTATCTAAGAATGTACAAGGCCTTTGATGAAACAAATGTCGGAGACATTTCGCAATGTTTAGAAGGCATCGTCTTTATCCCTTTAGTTTTTCTTGTTTGAATTTTATTATAGATGCCAGCTAGAGCTGGTGTTATGTGGTTACTGTTCTTTAAAGTTCTTTTATACTACTTTGTAGACCCCCTTTTATGTCCCAGACTTTTAATTTTGTGGAATTATGTTATTATGGATGGGTTATGATTTCTTTGAGCATAAATTCAAGAGGTAATCTACTAAAGCTCTTCAACAGAAAAGTAAAAATGCAAACCTGAATACAGAAGCCCCCATTGTCGTCAAAGCCTCTTTCATGCGTTGATTTCTATCTCCGCTCGTCACCTGGTTAACATGTAAAAATTGGTGGATCTTTGGATTATGCTAAACGAAATCAAAATTTTAATTGGCAACGAAAAAACGAACCAACAATACTTTATTGGCATGTTCGGTAACGCAGATTTTAGAGTAATAAGGAAGAAAAAAGTAAAATCTTGTCAATAGAAGTTGTTAAGTCCCTAGTCTTATCTAGTATTGCATACCTAACATACTCTATCAATACGAAAAATTTGACAAATTTATTAAACTACTTATTTTGAAATGCTTATACTAAAGCTACATAGCATCTACTTATAGCAGTTTCTTTCTAGTCCTGACATAGTTGTAAAAATTGTGAATAAATCTTCAGGTACAGGGAAATTTCAAAGGTTTTCCTGTACAAAAACCTATGAATTTTTCCTATACTTGTAGCACAATTCAAAAATTGTACAATGGTATGAAACATTTTATTACATCTCGTGACAAATAAAAATTAATCATTTCTCAGATATATATCTCCTAACAATAATTAGTATGCCTTCCACCTATTCTAACATATGTTTCAACAACTATCCAGATATAATTCAGCTTCCACAATAAGCAGTCAAATTCCAGTGTCTTTTCTTTCCTTTTCAATTGCCTAACTTCTTTTTTAGTGTAAAAAAATATTAAGCAATGAAATAATCGAGTAAGCCCCAGTGCAATTTAGACTTTTTAGATTTGCAATGAGAACTAAAATAAGTAATAAATCATGTTTCAAATTTCCTTCCTATGATGTGCTAAGGAATATATCCCTTCGGAAAAAAGAATATCGTAAACAAAGATACAAACATTATATCGAGGTAAACAAGAATAGAGAACTGACCAAAAAAGCATGTGTTATGTGGACACAGAACTCAACGGCAATACGCACCGACATTACAAGGTTAACAATAGACACCGCATTCAGTTGAATGTTCAAGATTGCCATTAGACCCTGTGTTGTAAAATCCGTAAAATTTACGGTTAGAAAAATTTCATGCGCTCGATGTTGAATCCTCGACTTGAAGGGTAAAATAATATAAACCAGTCGAAGAGAAATAAAATGTACCATTAGATCCAAAATGATCATTGCCAGCACAAGTAGAATAATAGCAGAAGCCCACAGACTAAACTCATAAAGAAGTAGAAACAGAAGCAGAATTACCACGTGTCAATGTGGAATACAATCATTTTGATCAGAAGCAAAGGTAGCTATTCGACAAGTAGCTAAGCTAGCAACTTTTGCTAACTTAAAAAGTTAACATATAAAAAAATACCTAAGTTCTAAAATTGGAAATAAGTTACTTATTTTGACATAAGGTAAGGGTTTATTTGAAAAAAAAAGTAACTTTTAATTTAAAAATAAGAAAAAAATAACTTATCTAAATATGTTTGGAAATAAAAATTACCTTTTACTTAGTTTTAATCTTAGTCAAACATAGCTACTTTATAAGCACGAATACTGACCTGGATGTGATAACTAAGCAAACAACGAAAACTGCACCTGTCAATTTTAAGAAAGAGTAACTACATGTCATTGAGATTGGACAAAAAGAATTTCCAGAGACGAAAATATATACAGTTACAAACTAAAATAGCCAGCATAAAGTACTAAATTTCAAGTTCTCAGGCGTTTAACAAAAAACTTCCTTTAGGACAAATGGTAATGCTTCAGTGTTATCGCTGCTTGAACTCCTGGATTTACTACTAATCCCTGGCATCGAAATGTTTGGCTAAGCTTAAAAAGTTAAATTATAACCAAATTATCAGTAAATTAGTTTTTATCATTTAAAGATGAAAATAAGTTACTTATTTCGACATAAGATAAGAATTACTTCAAGAAACTAAATTTAAGTAAGAAAAGGTAACATATCCAAACATGTTTGAAACAAAAATTCACTTATATATTTGTATTTTTAAGCTTAGTTGGTGCCAACAGTGCATAAATGAATTGTAAGAGCTTGCATGTGCAATTGATCGAAAAAAGAACTAACCAACCAATAGCTATAGCAAGGTCGATTAGTGCTGTCTTCCATATATTAAGGTATTGTTCAAAGAATATGTAAAATACAGCGTATGGAAAGACATCAATTTGCAGAAGAAAAACCAAGTCAAAAGAATATAAATGGCATGAAATTTTGTATAACTCGTTTTGTTTGGTGATTGTGGGCTTCTTCTCTGTGGACGAGAGAGAGAAAGAGAGACGGTTCTAAATGAATTAAACGTCTACTATTGAAAAGTTCGCGGTCGCTACATTGCATGTGCAATTGATCGAAAAAAGAACTAACCAACCAATAGCTATAGCAAGGTCGATTAGTGCTGTCTTCCATATATTAAGGTATTGTTCAAAGAATATGTAAAATACAGCGTATGGAAAGACATCAATCTGCAGAAGAAAAACCAAGTCAAAAGAATATAAATGGCATGAAATTTTGTATAACTCGTTTTGTTTGGTGATTGTGGGCTTCTTCTCTGTGGACGAGAGAGAGAAAGAGAGATGGTTCTAAATGAATTAAACGTCTACNGGACGAGAGAGAGAAAGAGAGATGGTTCTAAATGAATTAAACGTCTACAGATGCACACCATACTCTCATTACACAGAAGAAAGAAGCACTTTCTCACATAAAATTTCAGGATTTCATTATTTATGAAATTTTGAGAGGCGCGACGGAAATGCAATTGAAAAACAACTTCCGATAATCTGGGGAAGTGCAATTGCACATCTATAGTTAATTGAGGTTGAAAATTGTTTCTCAAACTAGTTATACTTACGGTCCACCTAGTGTAAAAAATTACCTTCAATGAATCAGACATTCTTGAACTAAAATCCCGTGCTGCCCTCATTGAGTTCAAGAAATCAGCCTTGAAAATGAAAAATCAAGATTAAAATAGCGGTAATTCAATCTTCTTTTCAAACAATGTAACAGAACGGAAAGATGATTATATAAAAATTTGCGGGAAATTCATACTTGTTTATTAAGGGGTGCGTGATATGTACGAAAGGATGATGCTTGAACGATTCCATCCTCATACCCTGATGACATATAAGAATTAGAAAGACTGAACTCAAAGAAAAGCAACAGATTATGGGACAACTGGACGCGGGCCATTGAAAGTTCAATGATCATGATTACATATCGAACCACCTCATCTAAATCTTAAACCATTAGAGAGGGGATAAATTCATTTATTTAAACCATATTCTACATGCCCCCCTGACGTGCAGGCTGAATTCATTTTTCTTATCGAAGTCCTCGTAAGTGCACAACTTCTATAAATGGGGGCAGCAAAGTTGAACCAGTTTGCCAGCTTCGATACCATATTGAATTAGCTCATCTAAAAACTTAAACTGTTAGAGAGAGGCAAATTTATTTATTTAAATAAATTGTCTTCAACAGTGACGTAGTACCTTTAAGCTCAACACTACTTGTATAAGCCCCTCATCTGAGGAATAATTCTAAATGAAACATCCAAATCATAAATAAGCCCTTGCTGAAGATATAACACCAGTGCCATGTGAAAGGCGAAAGTCAAAAAAGAAATAGAAAGAAACAGAGCTTCTGAATACTGTATTATAAAAATAGAGACCGTCAATTTTGACATACCTCAAAACAATATTCAACATATTCAAGACCCCCAAAGCTGTCGTAATTTGCAGGATCCATCTCGAAATACTATCATCAACTAAGCTCTGTTAGCTAAAGCCTATGGAAATAATAATTCATGCAGCCAATCAGAAGTTTGGCCAATACAGAAGTGAATCATCATAACATATATACAAGTATTGAAGCCATGTGACACTCACAAAAATCATCATTAGCATATTTATTAATACGTGTCCTATGAAATGGGTTATAGGATTTCCAGTTAAAAAGTAACATCGAAGGGAAATTGATGTTCACTAACAAAATAATAGACCTTGAAAACTTGGACCTTTTTTTATCAAGATTAGATGGACAAAGAAAGCTTATTATTATTCAAGATTTATGAAATCAGTATTACCTGAAGAACACTCTGCGTAGCACAATCCTTGCCAAGTGGTTTCATGCAAATGTCAGTTAGAGATACCATTGTACCAAAATAATTAGCTCTGATGCCATCCACCTATCAAGATTAATATTGTGTGAACCACTACGAATCTTCTAGTTTAATCAAAGTAAATATTCAAGTATACATTAAAGATGAAACAAGATTAATATTGTGAGGAACGCAAAAATGTATTACCTTTTTTTGGATATCAAATAGTAATTTGATATTGCTTTCTGTCACAATGCTTGGTGCTTTTCCATTCACAGAGGCTGGAATTGTTGCTATAATTAGCTGCAAAATTTCTCTGTTAGTTTCTCAATTCACGTGTGTATTTGTGATGGACGAGGGCATAAAAACTGGAATTTGAACTTGCAAACTAGGCTATCCAAATAATATAAATTAGATTTTACTTAAATTAAATTGAAAATTTTAGTTCAGTATTTAGAACAATTGAAAATCCATAGAGTATCACGTGAACACATACAAGCCCATTCCACATATCCAATTAATGAAATACAACAGAAATTTTAAACTCTAATCCAATTCATTAGCTTCTCAAATAGCTTAATCTGTTATTTTTCTTATTACAGACCCTAATGGCATAACTGGTTCAATTTATGTTACTGATATGCTCATTAAATAGTTCGGGGGCTGCTTTTGCTATCTGATTCTGCCCTTAATGTGCCTCTCTTTGGTGCTGTTTGGCTCCCTAAACAATTGATACTTCAGTATAAAGAGTTTTTTGAGATATTTTGATACAACAGAAAGAAAACCAGATAAAATCTACATGTGCATGTGTTGAAGAATTAATTGACAGCTTCATTAGTGTCTTTACTTGTGTGTAACTTTGACAAATTTATTTCCTTGTAATTTAGATTCCCTTATAATTTGCAATATCTTGTAATTAACAATTAGCTAGGTTGTAGGAATTTTTTTCCATTTTGAGTTGTCATGAGACCTCTATAGAACTGTTGTATATTTTCCAATTAATGTATGAAAGGGAAGACTATCTAGACGGTTGTAAATGTGGAAGACCTTTGATAAAAAAACTAATATAGTCTGCAAGTGAGGAGGTGGTGTTTAAAACAAGATTTAAATGAATATATGTAGCCCTCTCTAACAAAGCTTTTAGATAAGATAATTAACAGCAAGTAAACAATTTTTTTCACAAAACCAGCTCAAATCTGTAAAATATATATATATGTTCTCTATATAAAGTAAACCTGCTCAATTCTGTAAAAAGGGGCTAGGTGGCAGTCAAAAAATTGTCTCTCTTTGGCAGCTCTACGCCCTGTGCCTACCCATAGCTAGAACAATATCAGCATTACTACTCAACTAAATTTCTATGCATCGACATAAATTATTACAACAGTTGTATGAACGAAACATAAAACTGAAATTCCGATGATTTAGTTAAGCAATACAATATACGAAGCATCAAAATGTAGTGCTACATATTATACCTTCTCAGGCTTCGTCTCTACTTTGAAACGAATAAAACCAATGCAAAGCATAAGAACAATAGCCAATGACAAAAACAATACGGGGTTGGATTTCTAGCAACCCACGATCCATATCTCCTGAAATAGAAACATGATTCACCATGTCAAAGAGCCATTCTTAAAATTTAAAAAAAATAAAATAAAATTATGTAATGTCTATGACCACAACTAAAAGAAATGGTGTATGACCTGAAAAACTTTGACATGTATTCTTGCACGATAGAGAGTTGAACACGATTAGCAGTTTGAGGGGCATCCCCAAGCACCTGATAATTAGAAAGAAAATCGCAAGTAATGGTAGTTTCACTTAGAAAATCATCAATGTAAAGATGAACACGATGGAATCAGATATTACAGTTTTACAAACAGAAAACTAGAAAAATATTATATTACAAACGGAGAAACATGCCGCAAGAAATGTTGGTTATGATTTACCGTTAAAGGTATATGTATCATTCAAAGAAACCAAAGCACTATTTCGACATATTTCATTCCCCTGAAGCTTCATGCTTTGCAGCACAGAACCCCACAACTCATTAGGAAGAAAACTACAAACATTCAAAAGTTGTGAATTTGTATGCACCTGAATAGGGGTATTCTTGTCTTTTTTACTGTTTACATGCCTAGAAGCAGGACTTCTTTCTCTTTTCCGGTGGAAAAAACCCCACCCGAGAAACAGAGAGACCAATATTATGTACAATATAGCCATAGCAACTTCAATACATTTTGCCTGCATTAGTCACAAAAAGCATAAGCTTTAAATAATTTATACACTCTTGAAATATACAGCATAACAGATATTTTCAAATTTCTTTCATGCACACATTGTAAACAGATGTTTATAGATTGCATGTATGATGGGGAGGATTAGATACTACTCGACAGATTCAATGAAGAAAAAGAAGCTAAACTATTTCGACATGGTGACCAGTTTTGTCCACTACATACCGAACATGCACCACTAGTTTGGAAGATAATGTCCGATACAAACAATCAACTAAGTATCTAGTTTGAGTTTTCCCTCACCTTCAAAGACCCGATCCTCACTGAACAAGAATGTTTCTGATGAGGGGGAGGAGCTGAGTTTGAGCAGATTGGGGACGAAGAACAATCACCACATGAACAGCCTAATGAAGTGTCACCACATGAATACGTAGACACATTCATAGGTCTCATACCTGATGACTCATTAGCAGCAGGCAAAAAATTGATAGAATATGGTGATCCTAGCACATCAAGACCTGCTTTTGTACCAATAAATGCATACCACTCTGCCATACATAATCACTGATCAGCAAGCACTCTACAGAAGTGAACTAAAATGTTGAAGAGAGCTAGGTAACTTGGAAAATACCTTTTAGGCAAAAAAAAAAAAACTTAAGATGATTATACAGTTCACGATCTATGGCATATATGGTAGGAAAGATTGAACTAATAAGATACGAACATGCAACGAATAGTCACAATATTAGAACTACAAAAAACAACATGAGAAATCCATGTGCAAGGACATAAATGAGCTCTCGTGAGATTTTTATTCATGACGGAATGGGGAAAAAGAGCTTACCTCTGAAATTTTTAGCACCACCATCAACAAAATCAACGGCTCGAGTATTCATCGTACCAAATTTTACATCCTTGCAGGATTCGAACAGTCCCTTACCAAAAGTGTCAGTTATGTAAAACTCTATTCCATCCACGGTCAAATTCTTCCTAACCTGAAATGAACGTAAACAAAAGAAAACGATAAGAAAGATGGAGATTCCAACTACAGAAATTCTTATCAGTACTTCCAATGATCATATATGTGGGTCACGTTTGTAAGAGCAAGTAAATGGAGAGGAAAGATACTCTCATTTTCTTTTACAACAAAACATAGATATAATCTGGAAATCGTCTTTAACAGGATTATTAGATTAACTGATAAGAGGAAGTAAGAAAATGAAGGATCTTTCCCCAATAATTGATATGGATTAATCCTTAATCCTATATTCTTGAGAGCAATGATCAACAGAAAACAAAAGCAAGGAAAATACATGATTTGAGAGAGAACTACGTCCACCTAATACCACTGCAAAATTACACTGAAGCAAAGAGGATTACAATTCACGCTTCTCTCTGTTTTTCTCTTTTAAGACACGAAGGCTAGCCCTAAAAATATTAGGGCCACCTAATACACGTGTGACAGTGTGAGTTTCTGAAAGTACCCACATAACACTTCATATATGAGGAAAATATTAGGTCGAACAGCGGTCTAGAGGAGAAAGGGTACTGCATATTAGGCTCCACATATCCAATTACAAAATCATGGTAAAAATAATCATGAGGCATGATTAGGTTGAATTACTGACCTTGAAAACAGAAGTCTCGTTGATAAACTGACTTTGGTTAGGAGACATGAAAGCTCACAGAATAGATTCAAAAAATTTCTCAAACATGCTGGACAGCCAACAAGAAAAGGGACTGCCTGCAACAAAGATGCTAAGAGAAAATGAGAATAAAATTTTGGGGCACATATCACGGGTCTATGTAATAAATGAAAATAATCACTTGATAGAATGGAGCTTCACATGATACACCAAAAGCATCACAACCACAAAAATATATGCACAAAATGCATACATTGCCCAGTTTTTTACAGATAGTAAAATTCTCAATTCAATAGAAGACTATTTATTAAGTCATAAAACGAAGAAATCCAAAAACTGTGCCCAACCTGAAATTGAAGCAGTAAAAGTCTAATGACTTCTCAAGAGTCCAAATAAGATACATCAAGGTCATCATCCCAAAAACAGAATTAGGTAACCTGTAACCATTTCTTTTTGCAAGGGCATTACTAGAAGCACGCTTGGCTAAGCTTAAAAGTTACTTTTAAGTAACTTTGTGTGACAAACATGTTTGAGATTTTTTAGAAGTTACTTTCTTACAAGTGGCGCTAGAACATATCAATGAGTTATTGTAGGAGAGAGAAGATGAATCTGCTACTCTTTATTTATTGGATTGAAAGATAGTTTTACCTTTTTTAAGCATAGCCAAACATGATCTAGCTTCAATAAAAGTAGAAATCTGTCGTTGTATAGAAGGAATAGTGCCACCACAGATGACGAGTTTCAAAAAACTTTGCAAGGAATAGAGAGACGGAAAGTTGATGGCCATCACTGCTTACCTGCTGGCCTTGTGCCCGTAAAGTCTCAAACTGTTTTTCTGTACAACAAACATTTCCTGTGATTGTCGGGCACAAACTTTGAATCTTTGATGATAACAGATCATCAGGCTGTAAGCATAAAAAATACAATATCATAATATCTGATTACACAAACAATAGAGGAGAAGAAAATGATGCAATACTGGCAGTACCTGCCTTCACAGAAGAGGAACTGAAAGGACAATTAAGTACTTTCCCATCACTACGAGTTCCGCAAATGTCATACATGGCACAATACCCTTCTGAATGTCTTTGTCTAACAAGCAAAAATAATTTTAATGATTCAATAAAGATTGCCAAAGCTTCAACTATCACTAAGAAATTAATCAAATCAAAAGCACAAAATATAAATGTCTAACCACCTCTTCTAGTAGTTAAAAGAGAGATACAAACTTGTTTTACTAAAATTATGTCTACAACACCTAGCCTTGCATGCAAGCCATATTCATTTTTTTTTATATCAAACTAGATGGTATTGATGACGATTCGTAATTCTTCAGCTTTGAATAGATTAACAGAATCCAAATGACACGAGTAATTGCAGAAGCTAATGATGCATTTGATTTGCTGTTTTCAGTTTTCATTTTTGCAAAACACCTAAAACTTGTTTGATATGGTGTTTGTGGAAATGTATTATCGAATGCAATGTTAAACTTATTGCATAACATTCAAAACGCATTTTTGACGTTTTAAGTGTTTTCAATGGAAATTCTGAAAACACTCAAAAATAAGTGTTTAAATGATTTTTTAAATAAAATTCTAAAAATTAAAAATTCTAAACAATAAAAATATAAAATTCTAAAAAAATTTGATAAATTTTAACAAATAAAAAAATAATAATTTTGAAAAAATAGAATCTAAATTCTGAAAAAAAAAATTGACATAAAAATTCAGAAAAATATATATTTATATGAATGTAAATTTTACTGTTTTCAGTTTTCATTTTTGCAAAACACCTAAAACTTGTTTGATATGGTGTTTGTGGAAATGTATTATCGAATGCAATGTTAAACTTATTGCATAACATTCAAAACGCATTTTCGACGTTTTAGGTGTTTTCAATGGAAATTCTGAAAACACTCAAAAATAAGTGTTTAAATGATTTTTTAAATAAAATTCTAAAAATTAAAAATTCTAAACAATAAAAATATAAAATTCTAAAAAAATTTGATAAATTTTAACAAATAAAAAAATAATAATTTTGAAAAAATAGAATCTAAATCCTTAAAAAAAAAATTGACATAAAAATTCTGAAAAATTTATATTTATATGAATGTAAATTTTTATTTTTATTTCCTATATATTATCAACTCAATTTATTATTCATTTTAATTTTTAGCGAGAAAATAAATATTTTAATATTCACCATCTTTAAAATGTATATATTACTTGATAATGTATAACATAGAATTGTTCTATTTTCCTGGGTAATCAAATTTCGTAGCAAAAAATGTCATAGAACAATTTTTCAAAACTTCAAATCAAACGTGTTTTCTACTTTTCCATTTTTGAGAAACAGTTTTTCAAAATGATAAACCAAATGCATTTTTAGTAATTTTAAAATAGAACCTCGAAATTGAAAACTGAAAATGATCTCAAAACTGAAACACAAATCAAATGGCCGTAACCATTTATGAAACTTGTGCACCGCTCAGATATTTAACGAAAATAATGTATCTTGATTTCACAAGAGGAGGGCTTAAACTTTCATACGAGCTAGTTCAATCATCATTTAGTTCATTGGGATCGGTCAATTACAGTTGGTATAATTTTCGAGGAAAAATAAAACTCACCCTCGAGTGTCATTGGCCCTTAACAGAAACCTCGTTTCAGTCCTGTCAGCGTTTAATACAGATACTATCAACAACGCCTGCAATCATATTCATTTCCAAATCAAAGCCCATTAGAATTTATATTAAGTTTTGCTAATATCATTCCAAGAAGAACCTTAAAAATGTCTTGGCAACTAACCTTAAACACAAATATTGTAAAGCCATTATGTTGCAGAAGTCTCATCATTCTTCTGAGAATCAAAAAATTTCTTGATATTCTAAATTCAAATCAAAATGTACACACAGAGATAGATATAATGAATACACTAGGGAGTGAGTGAAGTCTGGCTGGAACATCGCGAGTTTTCAGGAACTAAAACCGACGAGGGACCAAATCAAAAGAACAAGAGCAAGTAATCTTCTTGTTTGGACGAAAATACCCTTGCTCTTTAAAAAAATTGTAAATTGATACAAATGACAACGATTAAGTAGATAAAAATTGCGGGCTATACAAAATTTGTGGCTTAAAAATAGGTTTCGTTTTAACTTTTAAATTGTAATGAGATTATGAGCCTGTTTGGTATGGATTTTGATTTTCTACAGTAAATCAATTCTCATTTTCAACCACACATTCTTCAATAAAATAATATTTTCCATCATATCAATAATTTTTTCTTCTATTTCAACCACACATTTCCCATCATATCACTATTCAAAAATCAATTCTTCCCCAAAAAATCCCTACCAAACACACTCTATAATTTAAACCAAGCAAGCACTTTATCCCATCGAAATTGTTTTCCTACCTACAGTGGGCAAGATAAAACTGTCCACTTGTTGATGTGATAGAAGAACATTACGGTTCTCCTCAAATGTGAGAATCGTAAGTCTAAGTGGGCAAAGTAAAACTTTCCACTGTGGGTAGGAGAACGTTTCTGATTATCAAATATGTTTGGTTCGTAATTATAAACACTAAAGTCACTTTTTATTACACGGTTTGAGGAACTCACAAATAGTACAAACTTATACACCACTCATTTCAATTTACTTATAATCATCCCATGTGTTGGCTTTCACTTTCTAAAGTTCATTTTTCGTCAAACTCATTTTCAATCACACATTTTATGAAAATCACAACTTTTATCAACTTTTCAATTACATATTTCATCAACTTTTATCAAAACTTACTAATGATTTAATCAAAACTGTTTAATCCTGTGGTCAGTTCATAAAAAATGTAGACTACATTCTCACTTTAATTTTCGTTTTAACATTTTTATGTAAAAACAACTAAATAAAAAAAAAAATTGAAGTTTTAACATATTATGACTTGCTTACTATTTAATGTTGCAAGTTTTAAGCTATACAATTTAATATGACATCAAAGTAGGCAACGATGATTTATTTAAATAAACATTAGTATTTCGTGGGGTCTGTTTGATTGTAAGAATGAAATTTGTGTGGGAAAAAATGAGTTTCAAGGAATTGTCAATTGATTGTGATTGATTTGTATAATTTTTCACCTGAAAAATGTTGAAATTTTGGATTTTTTGGTGTTCATTTTGTTTTATTTTTCATGAAAATTGTCCATTGAAAGGATATAATTTATTACAATTTGGGATAAAATTTGTTCAAGAATGGAAAATAGGTGGAAAAAAAATGAATTTCAGAAAACATAATTGCCTAGAACTTGTTTTTTCAGGAATTGTCAATTAATTGTGTTTGATTGGTATAATTTTTCACCTGAAAAATGTTGAAATTTTGGATTTTTTGGTGTTCATTTTGTTTTATTTTTCATGAAAATTGTCCATTGAAAGGATATAATTTATTACAATTTGGGATAAAATTTGTTTCCATTACCAAAAAAAAAAAAATTGCCTAGAAAAGTTTTTCCCACCAAAGTGGTGGGAAAAGTTTTTCCTCGAAAATCAAGAAATTGCGAGTATGTGGGTGAAAAATGCAAAACCAATTTCATGAAAAATTTGGACAATCAAATATGCAAAAATGTGAAAATGAAATTTAATTTCCATCTTTCTTGAAATTGATTATTGAGGTGTAATCAAGTAGGGCCATCGGTCAACTCTACAACTAATTGGGTGAGCTGATGGATATAGTGACAGGAAGAAAGAGTATTTGCTTTATCATTATTTCTCAACTTTATCCCAATTGGGAATTATTTTATTGTAATTGGTTACCCTCTTCATTGTTTAATTAATTTCTTTAAATACTTTGTTATTTGGTTAATGTATTTGTGGAAAAATACTTTTTTTTTTCATATTTGGTTAAGCTAAAAAAGTTAATTAAAATCAAAGTCAAAATCAACAATTAATTTTAATTACATTTAAAGTGATTCATAACTTTTCAATCACAAATGCATCAATTTTTATCCAAATCTACTAAATATTTATTTAACCCAAACAGG